TAAGAATCTTGTGGAACTTCCCGATAACATTGTAGACCTGAGATATCTTGACATTGATGGCACACAAGTAAATAGTATGCCCAGGGGTTTATGTGCTCTCACGAATTTGAGGTCACTCTGGGGGTTCCAAACCAACATGTCTGGTGATTGGTGTAGTTTGGAAGAACTCGGGCCTCTTTCCCAACTTAGGAACATTGGATTGATGGGCCTGCAGAATGTATCTGCTGCGTCATTTTCCATGAAGGCCAGGCTTAGTGAAAAGAAGTATCTCCACATGTTGGAATTATGCTGCAGTAGCCTTAGACCCATAGATGGTGGATTGGTCAAAGACGATTTCTCTGAGAGGGATCAAAGCATAATTGAGGAGGTGTTTCGTGAGCTCTGTCCTCCGCCTTCCATTGAGGATATTCACATCAATGGATATTTTGGCCGTCACCTCCCAAGATGGATAATGCGGACAGCAATAACACCCCTTGGTAGCTTGAGGCTGCTAACGTTGGATTTCCTTGCTTGCTGCACTCAACTCCCTGATGGTCTATCCCAGCTCCCATGCTTGGAGCTCCTAAAGGTCGACCAAGCTCCAATGATCAAACTTGTTGGCCCTGAATTCGTGCAGCCCTACAATCATCATGCTCATCCTTCATCCCAGGCTTTGGCTACTTTTCCAAGACTGCATGAGATGATCTTGTCAAGAATGGAAAAATGGGAGGAGTGGGAGTGGGAGGAGGAAGTGCAAGCTATGCCTGTCTTGGAGGATCTTAAAATCAGAAGTTGCAAATTGAGGTGTATCCCTCCCGGCCTTGCCACCCATGCAAGGGCTTTAGAAAAGTTAACCATACACGATGTCCAGCCACTCCACTCTATAGAGAACATTGCTTCTGTAGGCGAGCTTGACCTGTATGAGCTACCTGACCTGACTAGGATCTCCAATTTCCCGAAATTGCGAAAGCTTGAGATCGATTACTGCCGGAAGCTCGAGTCGCTGCAGGAGATGGATGCACTCCAGAGGCTCGTGCTAACAGTTCAGTACAGCGAGAGCCGGCTCCCATTGTACCTGCAAACTGTAAAGCCAAGCCATTTGCTGCTGAACTGTTGGCCGGGGATACTCATTTCCATGGCTTTGGAAAAGTCTAGTTCCGAGTGGGCCAAGTTCAGCCATATCCAGAACGCCAAGGCTTATGCAGATGAGGACGGCATGGAAAAGAGATGCACCTATTTTACACAAGGGAGCCCTACAGCATGGAGACAAACTTGGATCTGCAGGTAATGTATATATTGGTAACTCGTTGCTCATTTCCAATATATAGGTGTAGTTACTATGTTTTTCTTCATCTTCTCTTGTTGATTCTGTCATAGTATGTAGTTCATCGCTAACGCTAGAGCCTGCAAATTTGTTTTGCTTGTCAGGTGTTGTTAACTTTCTCCAGTCAGAGGGTGAAGATGGACTGCCTCGTTTTGCTGCCCTGATGGAGTCTGCGGATGAAGAAGTGGAGGATGCAGAAAACCCAGACAAAATCGAGGAGGAACTCATGGGCCAAGGAAGGAAGGAAGAATAGCAAATCAAGGTGGCAACAACATACATGGATCTTCCAATGATCTGTATGTATGTTGATTTCATGTTGCTAGTTATGTATAGTAGACAATGGAACTGGAGACCAGCCTGGAAGGGATCACATGGTCCAAAAGCTAATTATATATTTCCGCTTTTTATTTGGTGTAATGTAGAAAACTAAGTACTACCTCCGTCCGGGTTTAAAAGGCCGGTTGGCCAGTATGCTCAGTCCGAAATTACTAGGCCGGCTGTTGCTTGCCCCGCGCATGCAAAACTGAGCCGCTGCATGCACCGCTATTCATTGGCTCACGGCAGGGAGGTGAGAGAACGCATGCAGTCAGCTGAGATAAATACGCTGTGGCTGCCTTGCATGTAGGCTACTCATTGGGCAGGAGAGAGCACGCGTGAAGGCTTTTGGAGGAAATCAAAGCAACACTTAATTAAATCGACAAGCGCCTTGGTACTGCGGATCTGGTCCATGGGACGTGTAATCCCGGACGGAGGTAGTACAGCTATGCGATGGTTGATCTGTGCAGTATGCTATTTGCTTTCTTAGTTTGTCGACACGGCAGAAATATATGAACACTTCTTCTTCGGTACACCCCCCTTAAACACATCGACTGCTATTTGCGTTATCTGTGGATGATGCTATTTGCTTGGTTAGTTTTTCAAAGTATACGACTGTGTATTCACTTCGTACAACTATTTGTACAGCTGCTCCTCAACTTTTCTTATGCCCCAATGTCTGTATTCACTCTGTTGCCACTGAACATTGCAATCTTCAGTTGTTCTACTGTGTCTGTGAACATTGAAATCCATAGGAGCAGCATATATGACTGTCGATTAAAAAATAAAGAACGTGCATATCGATCGTACAAACTTGTGTAAGAGAGATGGAGAATGATTGATGTCCATGATCAAACTGAATCTGCTGCTGTTCTTGTGCAGTGCAGTTAGTCAAATGAAGTTGCATGTAGTCAGCTCTTGCTCTTGATTTCTCTGTACTATGATTGCATTCCATATTAGTAGTTCACTGGTGTATATGCTAGGGCCTGAATATGCGCTTGACACTGTTCCGTTTTGCTTTCTAGGAGTGGTCATGGTCTGAAACAGAGTCTGAAGATGTGGAGGATGTAGAAGAGTCTGAAGCCGTGACTCTTGGAGATGGACTGAAAAGTTGAGGCAACAACATTTTTAACTTCCTATATATGGTTCTACTCACACGCCCGCCGGAACATGGCATGCAGCTGGACTGGAGTTTGGACTACTGGACAGGGCAGTACACAGGCAGCAAGTGCGTACTCAGGCCCTAGCATATACACCACTGAACTACTAAGATGGAATGCAATCAACAACAACAGATTAAAGAAAACAAATTAACTATATATGTTACTATGGGGTTGAAGTTTGTCTCCATGTTTGTTTCCTTCCAGGAGGACTACCTGTATACTTGCCTTGCTTTTGCTCCGTTTCTTTTCCAACTTAGTCCAGAGATACGAAACAGAGAGCAAGCTACATCTCTGTTCCAACTTGGTCCAGAGAATTCAAGAACAAGAGCTGCCTACATGCAACTTAATTGGACTAACGGCACTGCATTTGCATGTGCAAGAACAGCAGCAGATTCAGTTTGACTATGGATATCAACCATTCTCAATCTCTCTTACAATAGCCAGTACTGTCGATGTGCATGTTCTTTCTTTCTTAGTTGACAGTCGTATATGCATGTGATCCTTCAGATTTCAATGTTGTCAAACACATAAGAATAACTGAATGATTGCAATGTTCAGCGGCAACAGAGTGATACACAGATACCGGGGCATAAGAAAAGTTAAGTGGCAGCTGTACAAAGTGAATACACAATCATATACTTTGACAAACTAACCAAGCAAATAGTGTCATGCACAGTACACCAAATCAAATGTGGATATATATAATAAGCTTTAGGACCATGTCATCCCTTCTAGGCTGGTGTCCATTTCTATTTTCCAGTCCCCGGCCGGCTGTGCATAACTAGCAGCAGGAGATGAACATACATACGGATCATTGGAAGATCCATACATGTTGTTGCCTCCTTGATTTTCTACTACTCAATTTCGTCTGGGTTGTCTGCATCCTCATCCGAAGATTCCATCAGGGCGGCTAAACGAGGCAGTCCATCTTCACCCTCTGATTGGAGAAAGTTAACATCATCTGACCACTCCTGACAAGCAAAACGAACCAGTAGGGCTCTAGCGTTACCGATGAACTACTATACTATGGCAGAATCAACAAGAGGAGATTAAGAAAAATATAGTAACTACACATATTGGAAAAGAGCAATAAATTACAAATATATACAAATATTACCTGCAGATCAATGTTTGTCTCTATGTTGTAGGGCTGCCTTGTGTAAAATAGGTGCCAGCTGCTCTTTTCAATGCCATCATCATCTGCATAAGCCTCGACATGCTGGATATGGCTGAACTTGTCCCACTCGGAACTAGACTTTCCCAAAGCCATGGAAATGAGTATGAACGGCCAACAGTCTGTTGGAATTTCGCCCACAGGATCGATCACATCAAATCACGATAAACGCGCACACGCAAAAACTTTTGCCAAAGGCACGTGTCGTGCCTCTCTTTTCTCTTTATTGCTTTTCTCTTTTTTTCCCACGGTGTTACAACTTCACGACCAGGCTGTGTATATATAACAGCCAACCTAGCCGACCTAAACGCAACTCCAAGACCTACACGGCAAGTGCAACATCTTGGCCGACACTTAATCCTAAACTGATTACTACTAGGACTCTGCCTCAACTAGACACATTACATTGAACCGACTTGGACTACTACCTCACGTGTACATAGCCAAGTACTAATCCTAACCGTTCAAGATTAGTACTACTGCCACACATCACGTGCATGCATAGAAACTCATCTACTCAAGATTACAGATAACACAGTCCAGCAGCAAATGGCTTGTCTTTACAGTTTGCAGGTATGATGGGAGCCGGCTCTCGCTGTACTGAACTGTCAGAACGAGCTTCTGGAGTGCATCCATCCCCTGCAGCGACTCGAGCTTCCGGCAGTGATGGATCTCAAGTTTTCACAGTTTGGGGAAATTGGAGATCCTAGTTAGGTCGGGTAAATAACCCAGGTCGAGCTCGACTACGGAAGCAAAGTCCTCAACAGACTGAAGGCCCTGTACGCTGTATATGGTTAACTTTTTCAAAGCCCTTGCATGTGTGTGGCAAGGCCGGGAGGGATACACCTCAATTTGCAACTCTGAATAAAAAGCTCCTCCAAGACAGGCATAGCATGCACTTCCTCCTCCCACTCCCACTCCTCCCATTCCACAAGTCCATTCAAGATCATCTGCTGCAGCCTTGGAAAAGCAACCACAACCCCGGATGAAGGATGATGGCGGTGACTACTGGGCTGCACAAATTCAGGACCCACACGCTTGACTGCTACAAACAAGGGAGCTGGCAAAGTCCATGAGGGAGTTGAGTGCAGCAAGCCAGGTCGCGCAGCTGTAGAATCTTCAAGGACTCGAGGAGTGTCGTTGATGTGTCCCTCATCCATCTTGGGAGCTGGCACCCATAATATCCTTGGATAGTAATATCCTGTATGCAAGGTGGAGGACATAGACCATCAAATACCTCCTTAATTACTCTTTGATCTTTCTCGGAAATACTTTCTTTCTTCAATACATCATCATCAAATCTATAGCTGCATTCTAAACCCAAGAAGGAAAGATACACCTTTTCACCAAGCCTAGCCTTCCTGGCGAATGAATTAGCAGATACATTCTGCAGACCCACTAGTCTAATGCACCTAAGATGAGAAAGAGGACCAAGCTCTTCCAAGCTGCACCAATCACCATCCATTTGAGCTGGGAACCCATATATTGTCCTCAAATTTTTTAGAGCATGGAACCCCCTGGGCATACTAATTACACATGTGCCACCAAGGGCAAGATATCGCAGTTCTTGTAACTTCACAATGCTATTAGGAAGGCTCACAAGATTCCGGCAACCATCAAAACTAAGATGTTGCAACAATTTCATCTTGTGGATGTCTTGTGGCAAGCTATTTATACCATTGCACATTCTTACTGCCAAGTACCTCAAGTGCTTCAATTGATGCAGGGATTCAAGCAATGCAACACAGTCTATAGACTCCATATGTAGAGTCCGTAAACTTGAAAAAATAATCATGGAATCACCAGGCTGAATCTTGAAATTGCCAATTAATATTATGGATCTTAGTGACTTTTGCTCTTGTAGACTTCTCAACTCAAATGTATCTGATTCTACTCCTTTTGTTTCTATAGACAACCTAAGATATCTTTGCATACTAAATGTATGACTAGTAGATTCTCCATTGTTCAGTACTAGTGATTCATTTCTACTGACATATTGAGCAAATGAACGGACAACATCATGCATGCTGCAAAATTTTTGACCAGGGTATGATGTATCTGGCTCTATAAGGTTCCTTAGTACTAGCTCCTTATGGTACTCAATTCCAAGTTCTTCCAATCTATCCGAGTCCCCATGAACAAATCCTTCCAGAATCCACATACCGACAAATTCGCTATCTTCAAACAGTACCTTTTTAGGTTTAAGTGAAAAATGCAAGAAGCATTGTTTTAAACAAGGGGATAAGTCCTCATAGCTAAGATATATTGCATTACTTAGCTCCTCTGGCATTTGAGATACTGACCATATAGCATCATTCAAGAGCTTTCCCCAAGCATGGTGTGATTCCTCCTTCTGGCACGGGAGTCCTCCCATCACTTTTATGGCAAGAGGTAACCCATCACATTTTTCTATAATTTGCAATCCGATATCTTTTAGCATATCAATTGTTGGTTCACTTTTCTCCGTTGTCAGTATCTGCAATCAGTTTAAGCCCAGAGTCAATAGTGAACGCATAAACTTTTTCAGTGGTTAACTGGTGATCTTCTATATAGAGTAGAAATAATTTCCCAGCATGAACAGTAAGGGCATAGTGTACTTAGCTGTGGAGCTAATACATTTTTTAAGGTGTACACTCGCTTTTTCTGCTATTCACAATGAGTAGAAATGCTCGTAATGTTCATCAAGCAGCACTCACATACAAACAGCTAAGTAACCATGGTTATTGCCTGTGTTAAACTGTTAATAAATAACCATTGTATTACTTACTTGAGATAGAGCTGATGTTACTCTCACCTGCTTCGTGAGTAATGACCATGCATCTTCAGGTCCCAATTTGTCAACATGGTGATACGGGTGCACGGCTTTTAGGCCTCGGGCAGCAGTCCCATGTCTTGTGGTGACAAGGACTCGGCTACCAGGAGCGCCATAGCTGAACGGGTCCTTGAGCAAGTTGTTCCATTCATTGTCTCCCCACATGTCATCCAAGACAAGAAAGAACTTTTTGTCTCTTATGGCGACGGCAAGAGCCGGCACAAGTAGAGATTTATCTTGAACCCCGCCGTCTGGGAGCTTTCCTTTGGCGGTGATGATGGCAGTCTTGAGCAGCTCACCCTCGCTGAATTCTTTTGTGACACTCAACCATATCTTCGTATTGAACCCGTGTTGCAGCACCCCGAATCCGGCGGAGATGATCCCCTCTCCATCGCCTTGAGCCGGCAGAGGTCGAGGATGTCGGTGGCCTCGTACATGGCACGCTTGAGCTCGGTCACCCATTGCTGCACACTATCATCCGTGATGCGCCTCCTCTCGGCGTCAGCAAGGAGGTTCTTGAGGTCCCCGAGCTTGACGCCCATCTTGTCAATGTAGCCAGAGACGCCGAGCATCATCCCCAGCTCCTCCTCCGCCGCCTGCTTGAGCAGGTCGCCCGCGAAGGCGTCCAGCACCATCGCCATGATTAATCTCTCCCCCTTGCTCTCAGGGGACGTTTGGTTGGTTGGGTCACAGGTGGTATGGTGTGGATTGAAAGGCGTAAAGCTGCAATGCAGTAGTCCTCCCATTTTGTAGCGGCCGGGTCGATTGATGCCAGGGGTAGCTAGCAAGCTAGGTTGATACTTAGCTTGATCAAGGCAAAAGATGATGCCTTCCTTTGCTTGGACAAAGCGCTTTGTAATTCCTGCGTTTGTAATTTTGCTTGGTCCGTCTTGCGCCATGAGTGCGCGTCGCAGTCTTTGCTGAAGCCGCCGGCGTCAGCGAGCAAACTGTCTTGGCTTGATCAATTGGTGCCTCTTCCTCTGATCTGTTGCTCAGTTTCTGCCGCGCCGCATACTACTCACTTGTCTTGGCGTGAACTAAAGAAGAACACATGCAGTTTGTGAACCTGATTTGGTTCCACCTTTCCTTGCCTTTGGTCTCGCTGTTTCTTCCAGATGGCGGCGAGTATCCCTAATTGATTTTTTAGAATAACACTCTGCACGCAGAAAATGCACGAAATACATGGATTGCTATGACAGGGCCATATACTTAGGTTTTCGAGCTACATATTGCTGGGAATGTAGCGCCTGTAGCTTCAAATACTGCATTTCAAAAAGGAAAAAAGAACTCGAATGTACTCCCTCCGTTCCTAAATATAAGTCTTTCTGGACATTTTAATATGAACTACATACGGATGTATATAGACATAGTTTAGAGTGTAGATTCTATATTAGAATCTCTAGAAAGACTTATATTTAGAAACGAAGGGAGTAGTAATTATGAGCATGCATGATGATAAAGCAAAGGTTCCAACAAAGTGATTAAAAGGACAAACTAGCAGCCCATAGGGTAGGGACATCTGTCATGCTTTCAATACCGGAAAAGGCTTTCGTCCCACTTTATAAATAAAGCAACCACCGAGCATAAAGTCCACAAGGTATCATCCGAAACACAAACACACCCAACGCCACTGCACGAAGGTCCAACACAAACGCACAAAACACAACACACACACAACACAGGTTCAGCTGTGGGCACAGCATAACAATCCCAACAAAACACCAACGGACGCACAGACAACAAACGGCGGTGGCCACGGCAGTGAAGCAGAATCTGAAGTCTGCACCGACGTCCCCTTACGGCATCTGGTTTTTTGTTGGTTCGACAAAAGCTTCTTCCTCTGATGCGTCATCTGCTCCCATGCTCTGTTTCCTCTGATAGTTTTTTCTTAGGGTTCCACTGATAGTTAGTAGTACTTGTTTGAGGACCTGAAGTGTGACATATTTCCCTGTAGAATAAAGGGAGCAAGAGCTGACTAAACTTAATTTGATTGCACTGAAGAAGCAACAGGCAGCTAGACCATCCAACCAGGGCCGGGGAATTTTACCAGCTCTAGTATTCCTCAGTACCTCACCATCATCTGAAACCTCTTTCTGAATTCCTATGATATACGGTGACAGATTAGCTAGTACTCCAGTTTCAGAACCTCAAATAAGTTGCTTCCATACAAAACACAGAAAGGGAGCCAGCGCAAACCTAGATAAACCAGGCCGGGACTAATGCTCTGGACGAAATGTCTATTTTCTACTAGTGACCGACATCTGAGTCCTACTAATGCAAACCAGACTAGTACTAATCAAACACTTGGACTCCTACTACATGTACAGAACTAGCATCGCACGAACTTGCATATGACTTATGATGATGATGACATAACCTGATCATGTGGTGGCATGATAGGTTGTAAGCTGGTAATGTTGAAGCATGCCAGTCTTATGTCAACCGTGTAACACCAGTATCAACGTGGGTCAAGTCTTGTTCCGTTCGTTCCCTTCCATGCTGCTACCACATGTTTTCAGCAAAGGATACGGTTTAGTAAGTTGCAAACCTCTTTCCTTATACACACCAAATAGAGGGGCCGTGATGAGGGTTCCATGGCCCTGGATTAAAGCCCGTCATCTGGTCAGGGGGCATGGGTGTTTCCGGTTGGGACCGAGAGGGGGGCACCCCTTAGAGCGCGCGATATAAATTTGATCCCATGCTCAAGATTACCTAACATTCTCTCTCTAATCTTGACTCTTTGTCTTCGGTGCGAATCCGGTCTTGACTCGTTATAGACTATCTCTTGTCGACTCATCCGCACCACAACAAGTTAAATTGATACACTTCGTTGATTGCAACAATCTCTCCTCAATTTCAACTTGGCGAATTTTATGTACCACCTCAAAAATGCCTTGGACTACCCAGTCTAGCTAGTAACCTGTGGAATACACCATCCGATGGACTTCACCATCCACCCTATCAAGATACATGCCGACTTCTTGTAGATCACACCATCCAGTGCACTACACCATGCACACTCCAGTCTCATATAGAGACATGGCCTAATCGAAAAGACTCACCTTCACTAGTTTACCTCCCCACATAGTTGAACTTGATCCTCTCGTCGAGACACATAGACGACCTGGGCATGCTTTATCTTCAATGACTCCTCACAGAGATGAGCACTTGGAAACGACGACGACTCACTGACACCACGGTGACTAGTCGCGCAAACTCGCGTGACTCTTAAACTCATTTATCTCCCGCGGACGACTATCTTGGTCACTTCTGGCACCGCACCTCGGCACCACCGCTCCCGTCATCGATCTCCATTCGCCTCCTTGCTGACGACAACCTATCGTCTCCCTCCTCGTCGCTCCGCCGAACAACAATCACCCGATCCTCCTCGTCGCTGCGCCACCGAGCGACTTCATTGCCCGCCCCGAGGCACTAGTCGGGTCACCACCCCGGGTCAAGTGCAGCTTTACTCGAACCTTGCACTAGATACAAATTGTTGGGATTCGCCCATGGATCAATCACATCAAATCACACGATGAACACGCACACAAAAAACTGATAGCCAAAGGTCCTTGTCACGTGCTTTGTTTTTCCTATTTATTGCTTTTATATTTTTCCCGGTGTTACTAAATCATGGCCTGGTCAGGGAATATTAATCAAACACTTGGACTCCTACTACACGCACAGAACTAGCATCGCACAGACTTGCATATGAACCGGACTAGTACTTCTACGTAACTCAAATAATTCAAGATTACCTAACAGGCATCTGGGGTGCCATGTAGGTCATCTGGGCTCTTCCTTCATGGCTCCTTCATCGGGCCTGGCCGTGTCCTGCAACCCACTTGCCAACTCTTCTAGCCGCTTAAGGTAGGTGTCACATTGACCTTGTCTGTTCTTTAGTCATTGCCATGTGGCATAGGTGCCTCGTGTTGGTCGTGGCACGGCCTTGGCGCCCTGTCTCCTGTCCCCTCACCTTTCTTGGTTGGAGTTTGAGCTAGGCTAGTTGAGGGTTGTGTTGCTTCACTTTTTTTTTTCATTTTCCCACATTTTTGGTTTGGTGCCCGTCCTCCCTTCTCTAGGTAATGTTCTCTTCTATCTATCAATGGCATTATACACAATCTTTCTATATTTGTGAAAAAAAGACGGTCGATCCTTTCGGCCGAGACCTGAAAACACACGCGTTTGTGCATGCTGGCTTCCAAGCAACCTGACAAGGGACTGATCTTCCAGAGACGTGCGTACTAAGCTACTCCCTCTGTCCCATAATATAAGAGCGTTTTTGACGCTGCTAAGATTGATCCTGCCGAAGACTAGCTAGCTGAAGCTAACACACCAACACATGGAAACTAGAAGCCACCGGCTTTGATAGGTCCACACAACGATACAATTGAAACGTCGATTGATGGCCACAGGTGCGTGTGGCGGCGGGAATGCCTTGTCCAACGTCGGGTCCTATGAGTCATCCATTCTCATGGGATACGTGTCCTCTATGGGGTGGAGCTGAAACCACAGGACGGCGGCCTGATAGAGAAAGGCGTGAACCTGCTTATCGCCGAGATGGGGTGATTTTGCCAGTAACTACTTGTGGATCTGTCCAACATAGAGCGAAAGATCAGGCTACAGGT